ACTCCAGGAGTTCTAAGGGGTGACACCGAAGAAAAAAAAAAGCAAAAAAAGACAAATTTGAAAAAATAAAATAAATATAAAACCAAGAAGAAAAGAGCTGCAGGGGAAACAGATCTCTCAAAACTATGTAACCTTTTCATCTAGAGAGGTGCTTTATTTTCCCTAAACAACATTCTGGAAAGCCCTTTTTATCAGGGGAAAAAAACATAAAAATAATTTGGGAAAACGCTCCGAGGGTGGCGTCTGCCTCATCCTCGCCGCTGCAAAAATGTCCAAGCGGAGCTGTGCAGAACCAAAAAATAGATTTATTGTTATTGGGCTGAGGGCAGTGGTTCAGCACTTGGCATGGCCACTGTTTACAGCAGGAATGCTCCCGGAGACAGGAAGTTCTCCGAGCCCTCTGCCGTTATTTTTCTCTTGTTGACGCGTTCGGAGCGGGAGTTTATTCGCCCCGATGAAATCTTTAGTAAGGAGGCAGAGAGGGGTTTTTGGGAGCTGGCAGAGCTCAGCCTCATCCACCACGGGATGGTTCTGGGGAGTCCTGTGAGGAGCAGCACCATCCATGGGGTTCATTTCACGGTGGTGGATTCCCAGATTCGGCTGCTCGGAGCGAGGGAGCACCTTGGGCACTGGGAAAAGTTTCCTCCCCCTTCTGCCACTGCCTCCCTGCCGAGGTTTCCATGCCCTTGGAGGGCTGGATTTGCTGCTCAGCCTCATCCCACAGGATGGTTTTTGGGAGTCCAACCCCTGCATGGAGCAGCACCATCCATGGGGTTAATTCCTCAATTAGAGATTCCTAAGGATTCGAGTACCCAAGGCACCTCGAGCACTGGGGAACATTTTCCTTTCCTCCTTCCATTACTTCCTTGCCAAGGTTTCCATGCCCTTGGAGGGCTGGGTTTGCTGCTCAGCCTCATCCCAGAGAGTGTTTTTTGGGAATCCAACCCCTGTGAGGAGCAGCACCATCCATGGAGTCAATTCCATGACTGGAGATTCATACCCCTGGCTGCTCAGAGCCAGAGTGCCCAAGGAACCAAGAGCACTGGGAAAAGCTTCTCCCCTCCTTTCCTCCTGCCACTGCATCCCTGCCGAGGTTTCCATGCCCTTGGAGGGCTGGGTTTGCTGCTCAGCCTCATCCCAGAGAATGTCTTTTGGGAGTCCAAGCCCTGCATGGAGCAGCATCATCCATGAGGTTAATTCCTCAATCAGAGATTCCTAAATCCAGCCACTCGGAGCAAGCCCGAGGCACCTCGGGTGCTGGGAAAGGATTTTCCCTTCTTTGGGAATCCAACCCTTGTAAGGAACAGCACCATCCGTGGGGTTAATTCATACACCCCTGGCTGCTCGGAGCAAGCCCAAGGCACCTCGGGCACTGGGAAAGGCTTTTCCTCTCCTTTCCTCCTTCCATCACTTCTCTGCCGAAGTCCAAGCCCTGCACGGAGCAGCATCATCCCTGGGGTTAATTCCACAATCAGGGATTCACAAATCCAGCTGCTCAGAGTAAATGTGCCCAAGGAACCCTGGCCTCTGGGAGAGGCTTTTCCTCTCCCTTCTCCTGCCATTACATCCCTGTCAAGGGCTGGCCTCATCCCACAGGACGATTTTTGGGAGTCCAACCCCTGTGAGGAGCAGCATCATCCCTGGGGTTAATTCCACAACTGAGGATTTGCACAACCCTGGCTGCTCGGAGTGAGCCCAAGGCACCTCAGGCACTGGGAAAGGCTTTTCCTCTCCTTTCCTCCTTCCATCACTTCCCTGCCGAGGTTTCCATGCCCTTGGAGGGCTGGGTTTGCTGCCCAGCCTCCCTGGGATTGAACCTCGGCTCAAATTAATGATGCAACCGAGCCACCCTAAATCACTTAAAACTAAATTTATCACTCCTGGCCTCTGTTTTTTTAAGGGGAAAATTCCCCATTCAGAAGAGAATGGAGGGAGAAGAGTCCTTGGAGAGGAGTCCTGGAAGATGAGCCTCCAACACACGCCCAGGGCCCTTCCTCTCGCTGAGTTACGGAATCATGGAATGAGTTGGGATTGGAAGGAACAACAAAGATCATCCAGTTCCCTGGGCAGGGACACCTGCCACTCTCCCAGGCTGCTCCAACCTGGCCTTGGGCACTTCCAGGGATCTCTGGACTTCTCTGGGAAATCCATTCCAGCCCAAGCCCACCCTCACAGGGAAGAATTTCTTCCCAATATCCAAAGAAAATTCCCATTCCCTTCAGTTGGCTGTAGCATCCTTCAAACGCCACATCCTTATCAATCCAAACCCCAAATAAATAACTTATTTTAAACTCTATCAATTCACCCTTTTTTTCCCCCAGCTGATTGCCGATGGATTTCTCCTCTTTTCATCCCATCTGGCAAACTCTGCTTGTTGTGACTCCAGGATCTGATCCCACGTCCCCTGCAGCATTCCAAAGGCTTGGATCAGAACCTGGACGCCTGCTTAATACTGGTTTTACGACCCTGCTGAAGGGCAGCATCCTCTGTTTTGCACATACTTTCAGAACTTTTAAGTGCATTTCAGTTAAAAAAAAAATAAAATAAAATCAATTTCAACCAAGTGCTCAAATAACGCAGCCTGCACAGAAGGAGCAAAATTCTGGCTTGGGAAGACCAATAAAAATAATTGGATTTGGAATCCTGGCCAGTAATTTTTGGAGTTTGAGTATTTTTGAGATTTTTTTAGTCTTGATTTTTTTACTTCTATTTTTTTTTTTTTTTCCCCTGGGTATGATATCCAGAGGGAAGCAGAAATTGTGCTTGGTAAAATCTCTCGTGTTCTACAAAGCTACACCTGCTCTGGCTCCATGGAAATTGAAAAGTTCCACCAAATTTACCCCAATCCCTCTAATCCTGAGGAAATATAAGCACGGATTTAATTTTCCACCCTCTCTAAGGTGCAGTTTTTAAAACTGTCCTGGAGCTCCAAGTCTCAGGTTTAGATTGAGATCTCCTGCAGCAAGCCAAGACACTTCTCCATTAGTTACTCTTAGGATAACCCATTAATAATCATTTTCATCTGGAAAACATGTTTATTTGTTGGGATTTTTGGAATCTTACGTCCTCCAAAGGAGATAGGAACTGGGATTAATGATTCCATGAGGAAAATATTTCGTGTTCCCCAAGCCACGGAGCTTTCCCGCTCCAAAATAACTATTTATTTTTAATTTCAGCCAATGAACTTCTACGCTGTCAGGCTTTTTTTTGCATCAGATCCATTTCATCAGAGTGACCTAAACCGGTTCTTTATCCACTAAAAAAACAGGGATACGTTGCAGCAGGAGCAGTTGGAAGCTTGGAATGTTCACCAATGGAGGGCGAAAAATCAAGATTAATTTTGTTTTAAGCAGGTAATCAGGCCAAGGAGGGGAGGCTGAGATTGGCTGGAGTTTTAAAAGGACATTTTTCTTCCCGAAATGACTCGGTGGGGCTCCCCAGCCAGACGGGCAGGTTTGCCCAGTAGCATTCTCACACTGGGCTGAGGAATCGGAGCCTTGGATCCCGGCCAAATCCAATGGAAATCTCTTTGGCTGAAGGGGAGGAAAAAAAACCAAACCAAATTGCTTTTCCACCACATCTCTAGGTTTGGGGTGACCCGTGACAGTTTCGCTCCTATTTTGGGCGTGAAGAAAATCAAATGTTTTGGGTTTTTAGCTCTTTTAGCAAGCACAAGGCAAACTCTGGGTGTTGGGCACAGGACGAGGCTGAAACTTTGGCTGATATTTGGTGCCAAATGTTGGTGAGGGGAAATGAACCCCCCAAATCAGGGGATTCGCTGTGACCCTCCCAAAACCGGGAGGAAAACACGGAAAATAATGTTTGATACAGATTTTCTTGCTGGATTTCATGGAAGAAGTTGAAATTATTTATGAAGGGCGTCAAGAACGGGAATTTCCTCCTGGGAAGGGACGGAGCTGTGGTTGCTGGGGGGATTTCAATGGGGGTTTTAAACCCGATGGTCACCACTCAGAATCATTCCTGATTCTCCATCAGGGATTTAAAACAAGGATTTTAAATCCCCTGAGGGACCCAGGGAGCCTCCACCGTGCCCTGAACCGAGGTGAACTCTCAGTCCCTGCTCGCACAACGCCCCTGGCACCGCATTATCACCGGTGGCACTGAGCTGATCCCAGCTCAAATATTCCACGGCAAACACAGTCGGGCTTCATTTTCCTGCAGCGAAGTATCAAAGGCAGCAGTGCCCTTTGAAGCAGCCACCTTCTGCTGCAGGCTTTGTGCAAATGCCGCAGAACAGCAGCTCCCAAATCCCGCACAAAGGCAAACAATCCCCACCTTTGGAAAACAATCCCCTGGCGGAGGAGTAAACAAAAGCATCCATTAGTCACCGGCCCAAAGATGGGCAGGTGAGGATGTTGAACCTGGGAGCCTGACTAATAGCACGCAGCATTCCCAAATCCCTCCACTTAAAGGATCCTGGGCACCTGGGTCTGGATGTCACACCTGGAAACCTCAGGCTGGTGTCTGGGAGCGGCTCAAGGAGCAGGGGAAGGGTTCCCTATTCCCAAGAAATAGGGCCTGCTTTGTCCCAGCTGCTGGATTTTGACCTTGAGGCTCCCCCAGTTGCCTGTTATGATTTCCAGCCTCATTACCATGGCCAGGAACTGAACTACAGGTTTGTTTTTATGAGCTTCTCCAGCACTCTGCCAGCTATTCATTTGAATCTTCTAAACAGTCAGCTCTGAATCATAATGCAAATTCCATTTACTGAAAAGGTGGTACCTTTAATATTCCAAATGACCACGTTTAATGACTGATACTTTTAGACATTACAGCATCTCTCATGTTTTCAGTAAATGGATATAATTTGCTCCGCATTACCCTATTATTATTCCTCGCTGGCATTACAAGGCGACGTTCTCAGCTGCGGGTGTTTTCCATTTGAAGACGGCCCAAACAACACAATTTGAGAGGCAGCTGCCTCTGTACCCTCAGCTAAAAAACGCTGCAGGACCCAGAGGAAAACTGGGATGGGGATTTTATTCCTCAAATGTATTTAGCGCTCCGGCAGGGCCGCGCTTCTGCGGCGTTGTGTTTGTGTTGGAAGGGTGTCGGCAGGCGCTTTTCACTTCAAAGGAGAGGGAAAAGCTGTTGTGTATAATCAGGAGAACTTCCTCGCTCTCCAGCCTGACACATCTCCCGTTTGGAATAAAAGCCAGAAGTGGGTCAGCTCTGGGACTCTCCCGAAAATCAGGAAGCCGTGTGTGGAAGCAGGATGAGGCTTGGGTGCCACGTGGGAACAGAGGGAGGGGAAAGTGGTGAGGAAGGGGCAGCAATCCCCGACTTCTGAGGGACACCAGAGCACAGATTGCTCCAAAATGAGACCTCCTGGAGTTCAGGAGATGCTGCTCTGCCACTGAATTGTCCTGGAATAACGCTGGAATACCGTAACGCCCCGTCCCAAATTTAAAGACAAAATTAAACAGAAGGAAAATACATAATAAATTCACACTGGAAATGTGATGGGTTTTCATCCCCTGACCTTAAAAGAGAGAGGCTGCTCCTTCTCCTAGGCTTTTTCTGAGCCACAGCTCGCTGGCTTCTCTTTGGGGGCTTGGCTGAACCTCCCTGAAGTCCCCTCACCGTTCTATCGGTTTATTTTAAGTGCTTCTTTGGGAATTGATGGGATTTAGGATTAAGGAGTGAAGTTTTAAAGGGTTTTCTGCTGATTTCTTTGGGATGAAGCTTTGTGCACCTGCCCACTCACACATCAGGCGCTATTTGCAGCTTCTCAGTACTTTCATACAGTCCCACTCTAAGTCAACTTCAACTCTTATTTATGCTCCAAAAGCCTTTCTATTTCTACCAGCAGCTACTGGTTATGGTAGAGATAAATCTGATTTTAAACCCCTCTGTCCTGCCTGCTCTCTCCTCTCCACACTGCAGGAGACATCAAGTGCCGTGACTGTTGAACTTTGAGAGAAAAAAAGGTCAGAGAAAGAGCCTTCAGCAGGCCAGGAACCTGTGGAATTTTTAGATCTGTGTGGGAATTATTTGTATTTTTAGCCTGGCTCTCTCTGTTGCAAAGATCAGTTTTTTTGCGGAGAGTGCTGGGGAGCCCCGAGATGACCACGAGCTGAAAATTCTCATTTTAAATTGAAAACCTGCCACTTAGGCCTAACCACGGGTAACACCACACTGCCTGAATTACCGAGGGCGGCTGCCAGAGTCGAAATGCCACTCTCTGGGTGGGTTTTCATCTCTTGTTTTTTCCCCCCAGTGGGATTTCACCACTTAAAAAATCAGCGCAACGCGGAAAACGGGCTGGGAAGGAAACACGGGAACCCATCCAGCTCATCCCGCGCCTTTGGCATGGAGCTAGGTTTTCCAGCATTCCCTGGTGGATAAAAAGCCCCAGCCCCGTGTCCGGAGGCAGAAGATGGAGCTGGAATCCCCTCCCCGTACCTCTGCCGCTCCTGCCCACGAAGCGCAGGTCGTTGAACCGCGCCACCTGGTTCTTCATGGCGGCCGTGGCGTTGCGCAGCTCCGCCGAGTAATTCTCGTCATTCCCGGCCATCACCGTCACCAGGGTCCCGTCGGGGACGTCCCCCAGGGCCACCACCTGCAACAGCAAGAGCAGAACCCTCGGTTTCCTGCCTTTCATTGAAAAATAAAACCGAGGGGGCGAAAAAGCCGCGGTGAAAAGCTGGGCGGGCCAAGCGGGCGTTGGAGGAGATGGGAATCATTCCTGATTTGTTGGAATGGGAATCCTCTTCTTCCCCACCAAGTGTTGTCCCCTTCTAGTCGAGATCAGAGAATCAAGGATTCTAATTGAGGATTTTTCCATTGGGTTACGGAATCTGAGCTCTGAAATGATAAATTCCACACCCGCCCGCTGTTGAATGGGAGCGCGGAGGTTGATTTGGTGCTGCGCTAAAATGTTTTCCAATCTGGATAAAAAATTCCTCTCCCCGTTCCCTGCAGAACCAAAGGACCTAAAATAGTGAATTTTTAAAAGATCATTATATTACCATCACTTATACTCTTTAAAATGCATCTTTTTTTTTTTTGTTTTACTCCTCATCGTGCATTTCTACCATTTTAAACCTAATTTTTCCAAGGAAAGAATTCCTTGGAATTTTGATGCACCTCCGGAACACCCAGCACGACGTGAAATGGAAAATGCTCCCAGATGAAAAACACAGAAAAAGGGATTTCCAAAATCTCTGTAATTTGTCAATAAATAAATTCAAGTAGCAGCGCTCCATGGGTTGATTTATATCAGGAGCTTTTAACGGAGCTGCCCAAGCAGAAATCCAGAGCAAGGCCAAGGAAAATCAGGCCTCAATCAAATGTTTAACCCCAATTTACTGAACAATTCCTTTTTTTTCCCCTTCAGGAGCATAAAGCAAATAATTTTCAGACCTCACCCTTGAGCGGATGGATGGAAATCATGACCTGAACTAAGGACTTTCCCCTTTTCCCAAAATATTTGCACTCCTTGGTGCCAGAATCCATCAAAACTTTAGGAACAGGGGATTCACTGGGTTTTTGATGAGAACTATCATGATTTGAGAACTCAGATATTCTGAACTCAGATATTCTGATCTGTTGACACTCTTCACACTGGCTTAATGATGAAAAATTTAATTTTTCTTGTATTTTCTTGGATCCCCCAAACAAATCCAACCTGCTGGAACTCCGTGGATATCTGGGATCTCTCTCCACGTCCTCTGATAAAAATCAGAGCTTGAATTATTTTGTCTGATTTTCTTTAGAGCCCATTGCCGTTTCCCCAATTCCACAGCACTACCACCCCAAAAGAAAAAAAACAAACCCAGAGATAAAAATCCAGCTTGTTTTTAATTCCTCTTTTGCCCTCTGGAAGAGGAACCAGCCCTGCATTGCGTCCTCTGAGTTGCAGCTCGAGATTTTCCTTCCTCTTAACATTCTCTGACTTCAGTCCAGGCAGTTACAATTGGCTGAAGTTTGTCACAACCTCATTTTATTTCTCTTTTCTGATCTGTTTGCTCTTTAGAAACGGGATCAGCAGCTCCTTGACTTGATCCAGCCCTGATTTTTATTCCCCAGCCTCCCAAAATATGAGAGAATTCCCCAATTTCAGGTATTTCCCAGCTTTTTTTTTCCTCAGGAGGCTGAGCTTTTCACTTCTGTCCTCTCCCCTTTGCTCACCCCTAACCCTGATTTTCACTTCCACATGCAGAGCTAAAATCTCTGGGTCAAAATTCCCTCTTTACATCTTGATTTCAACTTCCTCTTTCCCCGTTCCTCCCCGGCCCTGATTTTTGGGTTTTTGTTCTCCTCTCTGGGCTGTAATTTGGTTTTTTTGGGCCTGTTCTCAGCTCAGCTTTGCAGATTTCCCTGATTTTGGCAGAAATGAGGCCCTGCTGGAAATGCTGGAGCTTGGAAATCGTCACAAAATCAGCAACTCCGCAGGCAGTTCTTAAAAATTCCTGCAAAACCTTGATGCATCCACATCTAATAGAGGAAAAACAGGGAAAAGGGAAAATCAGGGCATTACCCTGCCATGCAAATATTGAATTTAAGGGAATTTATGCCAGGATTTTAAGCTTTCACAAGATTTTTCGTGGATCCAGGGCCAGTCATCTTTGACAGAAATATTTTAAAGCTTTCAAGTCCCAACCTCGGCGATGAAAACGGGAAGAAAAATCTTAAAAATGAGTCAAAAAACTGACCCAGCCCAGAAAAGAAACTGGACTTGAAAAGTCACAGACAATAGAAACAGAAATACAAATATTTACATTAGAAAAAAGACTAAACAGATAAGCTGGGACTTGTTCCTGGAGTTATCAAGGACTTTGTTGTACTTTTTACCTCTAAAAAAAATTGTATTTCCAGAGGAGATATATCCAAGAAGAATATCAGGTTTGCAGTGCTGTGGGGTATCTAAATTTACTTCTCTGGCATCAATTAATCCAAATTGGCCTCTTAAATTAAGATTCAGGTTCTTAACAGCATTTGGACAATGAATTTATATGGCACCTTATTGGTTATTGTGAATTCTTTTTTCTCAGTTTTTTCAGAATCGTTCTTAAATTTAGGACAAACCAATGAAAATTGATCCCTCTGGATTGAAATAATATCCCAATCCCACCGATTTTTTTAGTGGATTTTTCTAAAAGTGAGGAGAAAACTCCTCTCTCTCTGCCTCTTTTTATTCCTACAGTGAACAAAAAGAAGAAATTCTCGATAAAACTCAACCCTTTTTTGTCAGATGCAAACAAAATTTTGGCAGCAGAGGAATGATCTGAATTTTATTTTGTTTTTTCCACTGGGCCAAACGACCTTTAAAAAAAAAAATCCCGGTTTTTAAAATGGCTTTGCAAATACTTCATATTTAGTAGAAAACCACTGAGGTGTGGCAAATTCTCTCAGGATTTATTCTCTCAGGATTTATTCTCTCAGGATTTATTCTCTCAGGATTTATTCTCTCAGGATTTATTTCTCCAAGGAGAGAGAATTTGGGGGGTGAAGATGAGGAACACAGAGGCAGCAGGTGCTGGCTCATCCCACCCTTCCAGGCTCTCCTAATGAAACCTTTTCCTGACTTTTGGATGGGTTTGATTATTTTTATAGATATATTTATATATATTTTTTCCCCCTCCTGGCTATTTCCAGGTGAAATTATCCCAGTTTTCCAAATTTTTGGGGGCTGTGTGAGCGCTGAGGCTGCGGGAGGGGAGAGAGGAGGGAAAGCGGCTGCGGATTCTCTGAAAACCCCTGGAATTCTTTTTTTTTTCCAAGGGAAATTTCCACATCAGCGGCTCATTCCCAACTTCCAGGGATGAGGATCGGGAAGGAGAGGGAAGAGAGGATGATCCCATCCTTCCTCCTCCACTCCGGGATGTGATCGGGAATGGGATCCCCCTGGAAAAACCGGGATTCCTCTCATCTCCCTTCCCGGATTTCTGCCTTCCAGCAGGAAAACTCTGCTAATTAACAGTGCTGGGTGTAATAATTAATCTAAATGTGGGAATTTAGGAAGCGAGCCCGTGATCAGTTCCTCCCTTTGCCCCGCTCTTTATCTGCGGAAAAACAAGAGCAGACACAATAAAACTTTTCCCCCGGCAGCAGGAATTCCCAAAGCCGAGCTGATTCCCTTCTCCCTCGTCTCTCCTCTCCCCAAAACAGAGGAAAGGTTCGAGTCTGGTGGCCTTCAAGACGTGAAAAAAATAAAAGTTGTGTCGGTCGAGGCAGCCGGGTTTTAGCAGTGACCGCAAAAACAGCCCGGGCTTGACAAATCCCGAGCCTGACAAATCCCGAGCCTGACAAATCCCGAGCCTAAGTGGAGCCCCGGGGCTCCCGGGAGCTGCGTGTCCGTGCGGCTCCCGGCTGGGATAAAAGGATAACGACAAGAATTCCCTTCCCCTGCCCTGGCCCGGGAGCCAAGCCCCGGCAGCAGCCGGAAAATCTGCGACTTCAGGGAGTCAGGCACAAAAAACAGAGCGTGAGCCAGGGGAGGAGGATTTTACTCCAAGGGAGATGATTTTACTCCAAAGGAGATGATTTTACTCCAAAGGAGGAGGATTTTACTCCAAATGATTTTACACCAAGGGAGATGATTTTACTCCAAGGGAGATGATTTTACTCCAAGGGAGGAGGATTTTACTCCAAAGGAGATGATTTTACTCCAAGGGAGATGATTTTACTCCAAAGGAGATGATTTTACTCCAAAGGAGGAGGATTTTACTCCAAATGAGATGATTTTACTCCAAGGGAGATGATTTTACTCCAAAGGAGATGATTTTACTCCAAAGGAGATGATTTTACTCCAAGGGAGGAGGATTTTACTCCAAAGGAGATGATTTTACTCCAAAGGAGATGATTTTACTCCAAAGGAGGAGGATTTTACTCCAAATTAGATGATTTTACTCCAAAGGAGATGATTTTACTCCAAAGGAGATGATTTTACACCAAGGGAGGAGGATTTTACACCAAGGGAGGAGGATTTTCCTGGGAGCCGGGTAACGGGAAGGGAGGAAAGCACCACAAGCATCCCCCGCACGGCTCGGGACAGGAGAGGAGCCGGGATGTTCTCTCCCATTCCTTTCTCCCCATCTTTTCCCGGATTTTATTTGGCTGTAGCAAGGGACTCTGGAAACTCTGCCCGGGTTAGGCCGCGACTTTTGCTGTTATTAAAGGCAGCCAATAAAAGAGGAAATGTGGTTTTTGAGATTGTCGCTGCGCTGTTTTGTGGTGTTTTCTCCCTCCGAGAGTCCCTGGCAGGGGGAAACCCGGCACGTCCCGAGCGGGGCTGCGGGCGGGTGGCAGCGGGACAGAGGGACACAGGGACAGAGGGACACAGGGACACAGGGACACAGGGACAGAGGGACACAGGGACAGAGGGACACAGGGACACAGGGACACAGGGACACAGGGACACAGGGACACAGGGACACAGGGACACAGGGACCTGCCACCACCCTGCGTGACTTCTGGGGGATCCCGGGGCTCCTCCAGCTCCGGGCCGCCCGTACCCATCTGCGGCTCCCCAGCGCAGCCAAACTCCGCGGAGCTGGCTTTTGACAAGAAAATGTTTTTATTTCTGGTTTTTCCCCGCTCTGAATGGGGAGAAGAGGGAGGCAGAGGCTGCCCGGAGATTTTCCCAGCCCTTCGCATTCCCCGAGAGCGGCCGGGAGCGGGAGGGACGGAAAGGATGGAAGGGATGGAAAGAGGGAAAGGAAAGGATGGAAGGTGGGAAAGGTGGAAGGAAAGAGGAAAAGGAAAGGATAGAAGGAAGGAGGGAAAGAAAAAGATGGAAGGAAAGATGGGAAGGATGGAAGGAAGGAGAAAAAGGATGGAAGGAAAGGAGGAGGGAAAGGATGGAAGGAAGGAGGGAAGGGATGGAAGGAGGGATAGAAAGGATGGAAAGAAGGGGAGAAAGGAAAGGATAGAAGGAGGGAAAGGATGAAAGGAAAGAAAGGATGGAAGGAAGGAAAAGATGGAAGGAAGGAAAGGATGGAAGGAAGGAAAGGATGGAAAGAGGGAAAGAAAAGGATGGAAGGAAGGAAAGGATGGAAGGAAAGAAAGGATGGAAGGAGGGAAAGAAAAGGATGGAAGGAAGGAAAGGATGGAAGGAAGGAAAGGATGGAAGGAGGAAGGGGAAGGATAGGACGGAGGGACGGAGGGAAAGGACGGAAAGAGGGAAGCACGCAGCGAGCCGCTCACAGATCCGAGCCCCCATCCCCGGGACGCGCATCCTTCCCCCGATTTTCCCCCCATCCCCATCCAGCCCTGCCCCACACCTACCTTGAAGGCGATGGGCAGCGTCTTGTTGCAGCGCCAGTGCGTGGGCAGCACGGAGCAGAGGAAGTTGGGGCTGTCGGTGCGCACCAGCTCCCCGGGGTGATCCGCCAGGACCTCCACCATGCTGCGGTCGGCGCTGCGCAGCTTCCCCGGCAAAGCCCCGCTGTGCTCGGCGCCGGGCAGCGCCAGCGGCTCGCTCATCTTCCCCGGGCTCAGCGTGGTGGAGGGCGGCGTGAAGCGGCGGCTGGTGCTGGTATCTACGGGGATACGCATCACAACAAGCCTTTAGAGCCACACAACACCTCCGCTGAGTTCCTACAGAGCGGCCACGAGAGCGCAACTCCTCGGCGAGCCGCTCTCGGGGGAACAACATAAACGGGAGCTGCTCCTGCGCCGGCCGGCCCGAGGTAACGCGGTGCCCGCAGCCTCAGCTCTCGGCTCCCCGGGCGGGCGGAACAGATCCCGTTAATCCCATAAACGCCAGGGTCGCGGCTTTAGAGCGCATCGAGTCCGCGGCCGGGGCGCGGAAAGTGAGCGGGGACCAAGCTCATCCCAAAATCCCAGGAAAATGTGAAATGTTAAAATAAGGGAGGCGAGGGAGAACGAGACGCGCTGGGAAAGACGCGCGGAGCTTGCGCTCCTCGCTTTCTTCCAGGTGATTTCCCTGCGGTCCCAAGAGAAACCAAAAGGCGCCGGAGTCTTCTGGGAGGCAAAAATCGCTGTTTGAGGGAGATTCGGGGTTGTTCTTCAGAGGAGGCGGATCGCAAAGCTCAGCTGGCTACAACTGGCCACAAATTCACGGCCACGCACACGCGCATCTACCGGACTTCATCAAATATTTACAATAGAATCTGTAGAGAATTTAAACACAACAGGAATCCATTAATGTTCTCCGAGAGATTTTTCTTTTCCCTTTTTTTTTCTTTTCCTTTTTTTTTTCTTTTCCTTTTTTTTTCCTTTTCCTTTTCTCTTTTCTTTTCTTTTTTGTCTTTTTTTTTAAGCAGCCTTGAAAATGAGCTTCAGTAGTTTGGTTGGCGTGGCTCTGAGAGCGCTCGTGTCACGACCTCTCTCAATCGTTCTTGAGCAAAAAAACAAAGAAAAAAAAAAAAAAAAAAAAAAAAAAAAAAAAAGGAAAAAGAAAAGCTCAGTGCATTCAAACTTCAAATCTCTCTCTCTTTGGTATAACGCTTTTCATTCATTTAAAAGAAAAGTCAGAGCCGAGCTGAGAGGTCCGACAGCTGCGAAGCCGGGTTTGGGGATGTTGGTTAAATTGCGGGTTCTCTCTGTGGTTTTGTGTGTGCAACAGCGCTCTCTCTCTCCCACTCACGTCCTCCTCAGCAGTCGAGCCAAGAGTCTGCAACAACTTCGGCGCTCTTTGCCAATTCTCCTTTTTTTTTTCTTTTTTTTTTTTTTTCAGTATCTCAGACAGTCTTCCTCTAATTCGGCCACAGGAACTCGGCTGCTTAACAATATTTGAACCGCAGCAGGTGGAAGCCTGCTTTGGCAAACATGGCTTTTCTCCCTCTAGTCCTGCCGGGATGAAGCCCGCCACGCACGCCGAAACTCCAAAAAAAAANGGAGCTTTTCCCGCATCCCAGCGCGCTCCGGGTGCCTCCTGTCCCTGTGCTCCCGAGCATTCCCATCCCGCCACATCCCGGGAGAATTCCCATCTCCTGTGCTCCCGAGCATTCCCATCCCTCCACATCCCGGGAGAATTCCCATCTCCTGTCCCTGTGCTCCCGAGCATTCCCATCCCGCCACATCCCAGGAGAATTCCCATCTCCTGTCCCTGTGCTCCTGACCATTCCCATCCCTCCACATCCCGGGAGAATTCCCAGCTCCTGTCCCCCCTCCAAAAATAAAAACACCTCACTCGCAGCAGCTCCCTGTTTTTAAACAGCCGAATTCGGTGCTTAATTCACACCAAATTCTTAAATCTTTCTACATTTTTAACATTTTTCATCCCTTTTAATTCCTTTTTTTTTTTTTAAATTCTTTTTTTTAAAAAGAATTCTCCACTTTCTCGCACGCAACCATCCCGAAATTTAAATTACTTTTCTATTTTAAGGGAGGAAAAAAAAGAGGAATATCCAGGCGAATGGTACAAACCAGAGTTTAAAAAGCAGCTGGGCTGTGTTAGTGGCTGATAACTTTTTACGGGCACGGCACAGATAAGAACAGTTATTTTACTTTATTTCACTGATAAAAATAATGTTCAGTCGGTTTGGTTTTTTTTTTTTTTGCAGTCAAGAGGCGGAGATAATTTTATATTTAAATTCATGAATGCTTTGAGCTGAGCTTCACCCCCTGCTTTGCATCTCGCCTTAATTCGAGATTGTAAACACAAAATAAACACAAAAATAAAGACAAAATAAACACAAAAAACGCCACAGAAAATCCGCCGCGTTTACATTTTTTTCTCCCCATAAATTCCCGGCGATATCAGGATTTTAATGCGGGTTAAACACACAAAAAAATTTAATTTTTTTTTAAATTAATTAAAATTTGCGAGGGAATTCGAGGAGTTAAAGGAGAAAGGACCAACACGGCGGGGAGGATATTTTGGTGCAAATCGAGCTGTTTATTTTACAGCCCCATTAGCACCGCCCGCACCTGCCTGGGGTTGGTTTTATTTAAGTTTTTTTTCCAGTTTAGTGAGGTTTTTTTTTGCTTTTTTATACTTTTAAAGCCAATTCTATTCAACCTCTCCCTTCTAATTTGATTTTTTTTTGTGATAAGGAGAGCAACCCTTGGTGCTGTTTATTGTCCTCGTGCTCTGGAAAAATGGAAATTAAGCAGATAAATAAAATAAATAAAATAAAATAAATAAAAAATAATAAATAAATGTATTTTGGGAATAGGAAACGATGCAAAGCTGATTCTGCTTGCCCCAAAATGAGGATTTTTAGCACCCGAAATTTAAGACGGGAGCTCAGAAAAGGTTTTGGGATCCTTTTTGGGAATCACCACCGGTGTTACAGCTCCCCCAATTTCTATTTTGACAATTTATGTCCTCTGGAAACAAATCCCAAGGGAATCTCCATCCTCCACAGAATTCCCGGAGCACAAAATCCCGATTTTTTTTTTTTCTATCCCGCAGCCAAGGAAAGGTTTGGAAGCAGCAGAGAGAGGCAGCAATAATTTCAAATGTGAATTTTAAACCAGCCTGAACAACTCAGGTAAATATTCCCTGGCCAAGTTCTTTCCCTTTTCACCCGAATTCCTTTAATTTACACCCCAAAAAATTACCCGATCCTACAAATTTCATTCATTCATGAAGCTTCTAGAAGCAAAACACGCTTAAAAACGTAAATAAATGTATTTTTATCGGTTTGTTGAATTATTGATTGCGTCAGAGTCACCGCCTGAGCTGAAAAAAACAATTCCTATAAATGTAAATTAAATTATTTGGGGGTTAAAAATGAAACGCTGCACTGGGAAAAAGCAACAGACAATAAAGAAAAAGGTGATTTTTGTCCTCATTTCCTGCAGGTACGATGGGAAATCACCCCAAATTCCGCCAGGAATGAGGAGTGGGGCAGGAAAAAGGAGAATTCCTGGATTTCCAAGGGTTGGGAAGTGCTGAAATCCCTGCGGGAATCTTGGCTTTGATCCCCCTGGGAGCAGCGGGGGTGAGGAGAGAGGAGAAAACCCGAGAATATTCGGGAATCAATCCCAAAAATGGGATCTGGTGGGATCCTGGGAAAAAATTCCCAAGGATTCACAGCCCCTTTGGGACCCTCGAGTAATAACGGGGCTTAAAATCCCAAATTCTTTAGGATCTTCAGGTGGTAAAGGGGCTTAAAACCCCAAATCCTTTGGGATCCTCAAGTGATCATGGCTTAAAACCCCATCACTTTTAGGATTTTCAGGTGATCATGGTGGGGGTAAAACCCCAAATCCTTTAAGACTCTCAAGTGGTAAAGGGGATTAAAACCCTAAATCCTTTAGGATCCTCAGGTGATCATGGCTTAAAACCCTCAGGTGATAATGGGGGGTAAAACTTCAAAGCCTTTAGGATCTTCACGTGTTCATGGTTAAAACCCCATGGCTTTTAGGATCCTCAGGTGATAAAGGGGTTTAAACCCCAAATCCTTTAGGGTCCTCCAATGATCATGGTTTAAAACCCCATCACTTCTAGGATTTTCAGGTGATCATGGTGGGGGTAAAACCTCAAATCCTTTAGGACTCTCAGGTGATAAAGGGGTTTAAAACCCTAAATCCTTTAGGATCCTCAGGTGATCATGGCTTAAAACCCTCAGCTGATAGTGAGGGGTAAACCCCCAAATTCTTCAGGATCCTCAGATGATCATGACTAAAACCCCATGGCTTTTAGGATCCTCAGGTGATAAAGGGGTTTAAAACCCTAAATCCTTCAGGATCTTCAGGTGATCATGACTTAAAACCCCATGGCTTTTAGGGTTTTTAGGTGATAATGGTGCTTAAAATCCCAAATCCTTTAGGATCCTCAGGTGATAAAGGGGTTTAAAACCCTAAATCCTTTAGGATTTTCTGGTGATCATGGCTTAAAACCCTCAGGTGATAATGGGGGATAAAACTTCAAATCCTTTAAGATCTTCAGGTGGTCATGACATAGAATCCCATGGCTTTTAGGATCCTCAGGTGATAAAGGGGTTTTAAAACCCCAAATCCTTTAGGATCCTCAGGTGATCATGACTTAAAACACCATCACTTCTAGGATTCTCAGGTGATAATGGTGAGTAAAACCCCAAATCCTTTAAGATCCTCAGATGATTATGTCAGGTGATAATGGTGAGTAAAACCCCAAATCCTTTAAGATCCTCAGATGATTATGACTAAAAATCCCATCACTTTTAGGATCCTCAGGTGATAAGGGTGGGTAAAACCTCAAATCCTTTAGGATCCTCAGGTGGTAAAGGGGATTAAAACCTCAAATTCTTTAGGATCCTAAAAGTGATGGGATTTTAAGCCATGATCACTTTTAGGATCCTCACATGATAATGGTGCTTAAAACCTCAAATCCTTTAGGACCCTCAGGTGATAAAGGGGCTTTAAACCCCAAATTCTTTAGGATCCTCAAGTGATCATGGCTTAAAACCCCATCACTTTTAGGATTTTCAGGTGATAATGGTGCTTAAAATCCTAAATCCTTTAGGACCCTCAGGTGGTAAAGGGGCTTAAAACCCTAAATCCTTTAGGATCCTCAGGTGATCATGGCTTAAACCCCATCACTTTCAGGATTTTCAGGTGGTAAAGGGGCTTAAAACCCTAAATCCTTTAGGATCCTCAGGTGATCATGGCTTAAACCCCATCACTTTCAGGATTTTCAGGTGGTAGAGGGGCTTTAAACCTCAAATCCTTTAGCATCTTCAGATGATAATGACTTAAAATCCCATAACTTTTAGGGTTTTCAGGTGAT